TATATATATATATATATATATACCTATATATATTCCTATATGCTGCAGTCAGTATTTTTCCATAGCAGAGCCGCTGTCACTGTTAGCTGCTGGAAGCTGACCCTTGTGCCCCCTTCTTTGTGTGGGCATTGCTCCATGCACAGTAGATAAGGCAGACTGCCAAGAAATGCGGAGCATAATCCCAGACTACAAGTCATGTTATTGCCATGGGAACATTTTCATTCTCTTCTCACAGTAATTGAAGGAATTCAAACACTAGACTGCTGGCTCATTGTCAGCTCTTTTTTTTTATTCTAAACATCCCTCCTTTTTAGAACAGATTTAAAGTTATATTACAACATACAGTATATGTTTAGTGTGCAGTTAAACTCTTTGTCTGCATAGCTAATTTAATTGTCAGTGTTTTCTATACAAATCTTTTTTTTTTTTTCCATTGTGACCTACCGCTTTTTAGAAAATGCAAAGCTTTGGCATTATGTAAAAAATGTAATCTAATCCCGCTCTTAGGACTTTCACTCGCAATTTGAATTCATTGCAATTTGGCTCTTTGAAGGGTAACATTTTCACTGTGCACAAACTGACACATATGGCTTTTATTTACTGACATTATCCATAACATGGACTTAAAAAAACCATTGCTGGAACAAGACGACTGATATAGGCTTTACAATATGAGGTTCCTACAAGAATATGGGTACAACACGCTGGGGTAATTATAAAGGAGCCTGCAGAAACTGGTTCTTCAGCAGTTCTGGACAATACGCTACTTATATGGATTAGTTTAAAAGAAAGAAACTAGATTGTTTCTTGGTAAGCTGAATAATGTTTAGTTATACACAGAGTTTGTATTTATTTAAGGTTAAAGCTGGGTATACGCACTTCATCAAGGCCTGGCCGAAATTCGATGCATGGGTGCCGCTGTCGACACCTTTCTGACCGACAATCTTTGATCAGCTGATAAAAGGAGCATGTCAGAAAATTGTCAGCCGAACAGAGCTAGCAACCATTGAGCTGCCAGCTCTGTTCAGGTATTCTGACAGAGGCTGCCGGCCACTGTCAGAATACAAAAGACACAGCAAGAGATTCCTTGATCAATGCTCGTAAGCATTGATGGAGGAATCTGTTCTGTTTTCTTCTTTAGCAGGCAGGTTGAATGAAGAAAATAGAAGCGTGAATACCTGACTTAAGTTTACTTTCTAACCATATATTTAGGGTGTAACATGAAACATAGTTATGTCAACAGCACCACTCTATTCCTCCCCCCCACACTTACCTTCATTACAGGGTCCTCCTCCCCACAGGCTGCTGTCACTTTTTAAATTCAGAAGGAGAGACTACCTGTCTACCACCGGTGCTCAATGGACTACAAGTGCAGTTTAATCCATTCATTCTTCCTTTTGCCCATGTTACTGAATGTCCGTACATTGGTATGAATAGGGAGTCGCAAGAGCCTGACCATTGCACTCACCATTAACTGAACATGGTCACAATACTCTGCAGATTCAAATGCAAAAAAACTACTTTTTTTTTTAATTAATGTGTAAGCATTTATTGATTTTTTTTTTTTTTTTTTTTTGCAAAAGCTGAACTATGCCTTCAAGGCTGACTTCACACCTATACATCTTCATTATATTGTGGTCTTTTTATTGCTGAAGGAGGTTAGGTTGTCATGCACTGACATGTGCTCCCTTTCCCATCAGTAGGCCCATAACACATGTCAAGGCTTGAACAAAATTTGATATGAACTTTTTCAGCCAATGCACTGCACAGATGTAACCTAGCACTATGAAAGACAATGGCAAACCTATTCAGATGAGTTAATGTGTCATTAAAACATAAAGATAAAATAAAGATGTGAATGGACTCTGAAAGTCTTTCTATCTATCTATCTATCTATCTATCGTTCGTTCGTTCTGTCCATCACCATTTATCTATTTTTTTACTCCTGAAGGACTCGCAAAGCAATGGGAGGATCGCTAACATTTAAAGCTGCCCTAACTGAAAGACTTGCCTTAATTCATCCATCAAGAGAACAAGTGCAGGCTTTGATCACAGAACATCCTCCAAGGCTGACTGAAGGAATACAGTGAGTTTATTTCTTTAACAGAGTCAGTTTAAATACCATAGAGAATAGCACAAAGATCAAAACTGATAAAATGCACCAAATGAATGTGGCAGATACACTGTCTGGCCAAAAAAAAGTTACAACCTGGATTTCAGGCAGTGTTATGATCTGGGTTGCTCAGCTGGTCAAGTTTAGGTTCAGCAACATTGTCCCCAAAAAATTAGGTCAACTGCCTACCTGAATATACTGAATTACAAGGTTTTTCTATGAATGGATTTTTTCTTCCCTGATGGCATGGGTATATTCCAAGTTGACATTGCCAGGATTCATCGGGTTAATATTGTGAAAGAGAGGTTCAAGGAGCATGAGACATCATTGTCACACATGGATTGGCAGTCCAGACCTTAGCCCCATTCAGAATGTTTGGGATGTTCTAGAGAAGACTTTCCGCAACGGTCTGACTCTCCCATCATTACTACAAGATGTTAGTGAAAATAAATACAACTCTGGAGGTAAATAAATGTTGTGACATTGCATAAGCTTATTAAAATGATGCCACAGCGAATGCATGCCGTAATCAATGCTGAAGGAGGTACAACTAAATATTAGTGTTTGACCTTTTTTTGGCCAGGCATTGTATGAGAACTCCTCCTTATGATACTACTGTTTATAGGCCCAAAAAATGTGGAGTTTCATCTCCAGAGTATGGAGGCTATTTGTTTGTCCCTAATATTTTCCGGCTTGCATAGTAACCTTTGAGTTGGCAATAAAGTTAAACTCGAGGAACATCTTTGCTTCTGTTACTGACAGAGTAGGGAAAGATTAGAAGCACTATCATTTTTTATTGCTGTCTGTGTCTCACTCAGGAGACCTTTTCTCTTTTCCTGTCTCGAGAAACAACAGGATGTAGAATAAAAATGACTCAAGGTGAGAGGAAATCCCAGATTTCAAAGTTGTCACTAGAACAGATACCCCATTGGGAGATGTATTCCTTATTTCCTGTTTTCCACCTCACCCCCTGTTTTGGTGACAGCTGTCACCAGGCAAATTCAAAATGTTACATTTGCACATGAAACAGAAGGTGAGGTAAATTCCCCTCAATTTGGAAAGAAATAAAGGAAAATCTCGCCAAGGGGATTGGTTTCATATGTAAATTCTGTAGAAAATAGAGACAAGAATTGTGTTTGTTGCAATAGGTAAAGCCTTCATTTTGCACCCATTTTATATACTGGTCTTAGTCACTGTAAGCTTGTTTTGTAAAATAGATTACTTAGGCCATGTACTATAAAGAATAATTCCTGTGCTTTTCTCTTATTAAGGAATCTGATTCACCGCCTGCACCAGAGAAATGTGCAGGTCTTCCTTATATCAGGAGGATTTCAGAGCATTGTGGAGCATGTAGCTGCAGAGCTGGACATCCCTCTGAGTAATGTCTATGCCAATAGACTCAAGTTCTACTTCAATGGTTAGTCATGCACCTGACATTTCAACAAAAAAAAGATTTTAACAGGTTTAGCTTCTTTCTTTATATTGACAGAATAAAAATAAACATTTAATTAGGATTTATAATGATGTTTCTGCTGAAATCATTTCATGATGATGAATTTGTTTTTATCACAATGAATATGTAGAAACAGTAAAAAAAATTATCACGAACAGTGAAGCTGTTATTAATTTGGAAGCTGACTGGATAGTAGATGTGCATTGATGATGGAACTCTATGGCAGTGCATGTAACCCTTTTGTGATTAAATCTAATTCCAAACCAAATATTTTGCTCACATTTTGAATAAAGTTGAGCTTTGAATATATGTTGGGATTTTATTCTACTTGTGAAATTCCAGTCATCAGTACACCAAAAGTGATCCTCGTAAAACCTTCCTTTTATTATAGCATGACATAAAAGCATCGGGATCAAATGTTCTGACGCATTTCAGTCTGATCAGAGGGTCTTAGTCTTAACTCCTTTGACTAAGGCCCTTGGTTCTGGCTGAAACGTGTCAGCATGTTTATTGCTACTCCTTTTGTGTCATGATATAATAAAGAAAATGATTACGAGAATTGCTGTTTGTGTGCCAGTGATTGGAATTTGATTGATAGCAAGAGTTGACAGGAGCCCCTGCTGAGCGCCGAGGTTCCATTGCTGGATAGGACCATGTAGAGAACATTTTTTATTTTGAATTTTATTCAAGTTATGGCTCTAGTCGGAGATTTCTGCTCTTTATCTCTGTCATGCCTGGAGTAAAAATTAGGGGGACGGGCAGGGGCCACAGGATGACACATGCAGCACTATTTAATTTGAGGATTTAATATTTTAAGAAAAATATAGGTAAACCTTCTACTGGACACTTACAACTATTTCTCAACATTATCAAGTGAGTAACTATGTTTCAAGTGCAGTGTATACCAACTGTCACTCTGGGGAAAAAAGGGAAATATTTATTTTAACAAATGATATATAGTATATGTAGTCGACTTAAGAACTGACATATATTTGTTACTAACAAAAAATGTGATTTGTAAATAAAGTCAAATACAGATGAGAGGAGAAATTGAGAATATTTGTCTTACGAACAGCCACTTAATACAGGATATACACATTACACGTTATGGATTTGCTACATCTAATCAGGGAATAGCTTATATTTTTTGTGAGGTGTTGAGTGGAGGATGCTAAATATACCTTTTTTTTTACGTAAAATCAAGCGACCGGTGTGTTGTTGAACTGACAAATGTAAATGAAATTGTAATCTTAATAGTTAATATAGACTGCTGTAAATATGGAATAAATTTGTTTACGGCGGAATGCAGCACTTTTATGTACAGTTTTTAGTTGCTTGCTGCAAATAAAATGTGCTAAATATTATCTTTGTTAGACCTTTTTTGTGAATGGCATTACAAAACACATTTTGCAATTTAAAAAAAAAATCTTTATTTATTTGAACCATTTTATGTTTTAAGGTGAATATGCTGGGTTTGATGAGACACAGCTTACTGCAGAATCCGGTGGTAAAGGAAAAGTCATTGGCCTTCTCAAGGAAAAGTATGGCTTCCGTGATGTAGTTATGATTGGAGACGGTGCTACAGATATGGAAGCATGTCCCCCTGCTGTAAGTCTGGTATTTTTATATAAGTAAATAATGATATTAAAGTTGAACCCCAGCTATAAAGAATTATATACACCGGCCACCCATAACATTAGGACCACCCGCCTAATATTGTGTAGGTACCCCTTTTGCTGCCAAAACAGCCCTTTTGAGGCATAAAATCCACTAGACCTCTGAAGGTATGCTATGGTATCTGGCCAGATTTTGCTCCTGGACTGGACAATACAGCACAGAGGAAGGTTAAAAATATACTTCTCATAATATCTGCCACAGTAGCCATATATACTTACTGTGCCTCCCCCATAGAAGTACAGTTCATCCTTCGCCCCAAAATGTTACATAGTTAGTCAGGTTAAAAAAAGAGTTTAACCTATAGAGAGAAAAATGTGACTGAAGTGCTGGGGAGGTTGGGAGGCATGAGCCACCTCCAGCATGGGAGGCAGGTTACCTGGCTAGGAGGAGGTCTAAGTGGGGTGAGGATCACTTCTTAGGGTACTTACAGTATGTAGTTGGCAGGCTAATGTGGCGACCAGGATTTGTCCAATTTATGCATTTTTTTATAGGAGAATCTGCAACAGTGTATACTATTTTATTATTATTTAAATAATGTATTCATTATAATTTATAGTGAATTATAATATATTATAAGTAAGCTCCTCTCCTCCCTCTTCATCAGCGTAGTGCAGAGTGATTTCCTCCCCTCCTCTCCTCCTCAGTGTACTGTGAAGTAATACAAATGTTTTATTAGCAGTCACGTGACTACAAAGCTACAACGGGTGTGTCCGCGGGGCTGGCAGGCAGTAACATTTTCAAGGCCAACAACACCTTAGGACTTTAGATTTTGGTGGAGTGACGTCATTGTTCTAAGAATTTAGCTGCATTGTGGCCCCTCTATAGACAGACACACTTGCCTGAGCTTTACAGTCACGTGACTGCTTAGAACAAGATGTAAAAAAGTATTTGCATTGACATTTATTAGCATCTATATATTTAAAAATTTGCTATGGGGCCCTGTGATTTCTAGTTATGCCCAT